TTACCCTGATACCAAAACCACACAAAGACCCAACCAAGAAAGAGAATTACAGGCCTATCTCACTCATGAATATCGACGCAAAAATTCTCAATAAAATACTGGCAAACCGAATTCAAGAACACATCAGAAAAATTATCCATTATGATCAAGTAGGCTTCATCCCAGAGATGCAGGGCTGGTTCAACATACGCAAATCTATCAATGTAATCCACCATATAAATAGACTGAAAGAAAAAAACCATATGATCATTTCATTAGATGCGGAAAAAGCATTCGACAAAATTCAACACCCCTTTATGATAAAGGTCTTGGAGAGAATAGGGATACAAGGGTCATACCTAAATATAATAAAAGCTATCTACAGCAAACCGACAGCTAACATTAAATTAAATGGAGAAAAACTCAAAGCCATCCCACTAAAATCAGGAACAAGACAAGGATGGTCTCTCCTTCTGATCTCCACCTTTGCTGTGATTGCCCAGTTTTCTGGAACTCCCATCTTGGTCCTTCAGTCAGCAAATTTGGCCTCTGGTTACTGTCATACCACACATTTCATGTTTGGGCCCAAGATAGAATTCAGAATAATAAAGACATGTAAAAAAATCAAAGCACTAATGGGAAAAAGAAAATAATTCACTTCGTTTAAACTGCTGCAGGAAGAAGTATAATTTGCATTTCTATGCTCAGAGAAATGAGAATCTTTTTAATTGTGTAATTCAAACTTTTATCCACTGGGTGTCCTCAGTCAAGTTTATCAGAATCTTTTTCTTGCAAATTTATCCCTAGATAACTTTTTAAGGACTAAACTCTTTAAATGAAATTTAAGGTAATGTTTCAAGTGAAATATTTGCATATAATTGTTGGGAACTTGTTTGAGAGGCTTACATTTACAAATCTGAACACCTTTAAATATGGTAAGAGACTAAATAAAGATTTGTGGTAATCCATGTAATCTTGGGAAAATAAGGAATTTGCTTATTTTAAAGTTTTTCTTATTGCTAAGTCTTTTTCCTTTTCTCTTTAATTTTTGAAGGGTCCTGGGACTGGAGTTAAACAAAGACAGAGATGTTGAAAGAATCCATTGCAGTGGAGTTAACACTCTTGACATTGAGCCTGTTGAAGGAAGATAGTAAGTTGTGTCTTCACTTTTCTATCTAAAGCTTATCTTTTTAAATTGATTAGTAGAAATCAGTTATAATATGTTAAAAAAATTAAATTGTTGCATTTGTTGAGCTGGCATTTATTCATTTGAAGTAAAAACAGAATCAAATATGCAAAATGTTGCCAGCTCGATCAATACTCCAAACTACTGTAACCTAGATATATTCATGTTAAATCAATAAACCCAAGAAGTTATGTTATGCAGTAGGTTTCTAAGTGCTGGGATGTGTCTTGGGTGCTCTTTTAAATATTTCTTGTTACTGTCAAGAAATCTAATGGGAACTAAAATAGAAAAGCAGAAATGTATTTGGCAAATTAAGTTTGAAGCATCAATTTTCCTGAGTTTCTTTCTTACCAGCTCTGTGATCTGTGCAATTACCTAACCTTTTAAATTTCCAGTTGCCATAGCTGTTTGATGGGAAAGATCGTGTTTAGCTTATTTGTCATAAGAATTTGAGAAAATCTGCTGAAAGCAGCTTCACATGCATGTTGAATTGTTTCAGCTCATTGTCCACACCGTAGCTAGTCACAATTTGTCGTCACACCACACTACTCATATAGGAGGGGTTGGAGGACAATGCAGCTCTCCAGCAGAATATATGATTTGCATGCACAAGGATCTGGGTTCAATCTGGAGCAGAAGGGGGAGGAGAAAAGAACCGCAGTAAGGAAGGTGAACTCAGAGCCCTTCATGTAAGGGCTCTTCACTCTTCACTGAACTCAGAGCTCTTCACTGTATTCAGTAATGGACCCTTAAATACAATGCACAAGGACCTGACTCTGCTAACAGGTCAAGCCCCGCACTACAGGAAATAGAACAAATCAGTCTTTATGTGCTCTATAATTAGACCTTGTATATTTAAAAAAAAGAAAGAAAGAAAGAAAGAAAGAAAGAAAGAAAGAAAGAAAGAAAGAAAGAAAGAAAGAGAAAACTAAGGAAAAGAGTTTCTCGTGCTATAGTCTGTTCAGCAGTCACCCTAGAGTTTTGTTTTAGTAAAGTATTGTCCTTCGCTTTAACCTAAGTCAGGATAGGCCTGGCAGACTCGCACTTTCTGCTTTTACCTCTGCCATAATAATGGTGTGTAAGAAATGTGTGGTGAACAGAGTTCTCCATTTAGCACGTGGCTAAATTTAAAAGATGGCACACAATAATTCTTTCCTTTTCCCTAGCTTTTCAAGGCAAAACATAGTATTTCCTGTTCAAAGACAGTTGTGGGCTCTCATTTGTAAAATTAGGTGCAGATCCAAGGAATAAAGGACAGATGATTTCTTTTGGTCGTTGGTGCCAGTGGGGAGAAAATATACTAGTGTTCCAGCCCAGCTGTTTGGCATAGTGTAACCTGTTAGCAGAGTCAGTCTGAACTGGGGAATTACAGTTTACATATGTGTGGAGTATGTTTGAGGAATATAGGATGAAGAGCATTTCCACGGGGCAGTCGAAGTCTGAACCACTCAGCATAGTAGCACTCCCTTTACTACATGGTAAAAGATACAATTGTTTATTTCTTTGTTTGCTAAGACATATTCAGTCCCACTCAGGAGCAAGAAGGAAGAAATCAAGATGAAAGTATATGTCAAATCAAAAACCAAGTCTTTTATTTCCTTAACAAACATCAGTGTACATTTAAGTTGTTCAAAATTCTTTTAATATTTATCATCCACTATGAACACTGTAGCAGAAGCACTAAAAACCACAGTCACAGCCAGAATGCACAGATCTGGTAGACCAGTCTGCAGTTCCACAATTAGGTGTGCTTTTAAGAAGACTACCCATACACTGCATTTTTAGAAGGTTCAACTACAGAGAATACATTTGCATACCACCTATGAAGATTAAATTTTGTATATCTTATAAATTCTAATTTAATCACCTTTTGTAAGTTTCCTCCTTTAACATAAAAACAGTGCCCTACCTCTTTAATATTGTTGGCTGAGGTTTCTATCCCACCCAGTCCTGCAGCCTTTCAGCCCCAAAGAAATACACAGAGGTCTACATTAATCATAAACTGATTGGCCTATTAACTCAGGCTTCTTATTAACTCTTATAACTTATATTAACCCATAATTCTTGTCTGTGTTAGTCACGTGGCTTGGTGCCTTTTTCAGCGAGGCAGTCACATCTTGTCCTCTGTGTCTGGATGACGACTGCAGACTGCTCTTTCCTCTTCCCAGAATTCTCCTGTTCTCATCGCTCCACCTATATACTTCCTGCCTGGCTACTGGCCAATCAGCATTTTATTAAAATACAATTGATAGGTTACAGACCATTGTCCCACAGCATAATATGGTCATGATTAGCAGAATTCTAACCTCATAGTTAAGTAATATTAGTGTAAAATACTAAACAGAAAGTCATTTAATTTCAAGAAAGCATGTCACGCCTCAGTAGCAGGCGAGGCTGGAAGGAGCTCAGTGTGGCCCTTGTAATCATTCCTAGGAACTAATAGGTCAACACTCCCTGCAGAACAGAGCCCCACACTGAAAAATAGAACCCAGCTTGAGCAGTGTGGTGCTAGAGACACAGGGGAAAGGACAGCTCACCTAAAAGTTTAGGACATGAACAGAACCAGAAAAAATTCTAATTAAAAACTTTTGTTTTTAAGTATCTTTCAAAATGAATGAAAATATATTTTAGAATGAGGATTTTTCTGAGAATAAAAGTTTAAACGTTATTCTAAATCTAGATTATAAATTCTAAAATATAAATTCTAAACCTAAACTCTAACTCCATTCTGAAAGAATATGAAAATATGCAAAAATAGGATATGAGATGTAAGAGCTAAGAGAATAAAGAGAACTGATGGCCACTGCAATGACTTCATGCCTGACAGGTTATGTCATAAAATGTGAGAATGCTAATATAATATTGCAAAACTAATGAAAAGTCAGTTTGTTGTCATGTGTGTGGTACACATTCATGTGTGCATTTATATGTGTGCAGCTCCTGAGGCATCTAAACTTTGGTCATTATGTTTGTGTGGTGGACACTTTACCAACTGATCATCTCTTGCCTAATTCCCAAAACATGGAATCCATGAAAGAATAAATTCAAATGTAAAAAATCTCAGAAATGAGGTTATCAAACACATGGAAAATTAGAAATAAAAGAAAAATATTTCAGAAATGAGACAAAGCATAAGAACACAAGCAAATCACCACAGGTGTAATTCCTTAGAAACAGAAAGCAGAAGTGTAGAGAACTTAAGATTAGGAAAGAAGGGATGAAGGACCAGGCTGTAGCTCAGTAGTGGAGTGCTAGCCTCTCATGTGTGAGGCTATAGGCTCAATCTCAGCACTGACAACAGATGTGAAGGTAGTCAGACAAACAGAATAAAGGCCAAGAAGACCCAGACTGCATATGACAAAAGTCGACACAGAAGACCAATGCAAGCAAGCAAAATAACCTTGAGACTATAATAAAATAAACCTTTTCACTTGGAGTAAAATCTACAACTAGAACCAGGCATGGTGGCAAACACCTTAAATCTTAGCACTCGGGAGGCAGAGGCAGATGGGTCTCTGAGTTCAAGACCAGCCTTGTCTACGGATCTACAACTGTGTGTAAGGGAAAAGGTAACACTTTCAGTGTGTGTGTAAGGGAAAGGGTCACACTGGTGTGTGTGTAACAAAAGGGTCACATTGTCACTGTGTGTCAGGGAAAGGGCCACACTGTCAATGTGTGTGTAAGGAAAGGGCCACACTGTCAGTGTGTGTGTAAGGAAAGGGTCACACTGTCAGTGTATGTGTAAGGGAAAGGGCCACACTGTCAGTGTGTGTGTGTAAGGAAAGGGTCACACTGTCAGTGTGTGTGTAAGGAAAGGGTCACACTGTCAGTGTGTGTGTAAGGGAAAGGGTCACAAAAAGCCCAAAGGAAGACTATTTTTTTTTTCTTTAGTCTAAAATACTCTGAGAATTAAGCCTTTTCCATCTACTCAAACTGGTTTTCAAGGCCAGAAGGCAGACATCATCAGTAGCGTACAGGAACTCTTGGAGTGCTGCAGTCCTTAGCCCTTCTTTGCCTGTTGCTGGCTTGAAATCAGATAGCTAGAATAACCAGGACCATAACCAATACTTCTGGAAAGTAGCAATACTTTCTGTAAATGTATAAATTTGTAGATCTAGGTATTGGTTTGACTGCTGGTATCACATCACAATAAAGAAACCAGTTTTAAGTAAAGTTTATTTTAATTCAGTCTAAAAGTCTAAACTGGAAGTTGCAGAGCAAATGACCTGGGCGTTAGCCCAGATGATAAATCAGAGATGGAACAGGTCAAGGGAGCAAAGAAGCACAGAGTGGTGAAGGTCTGTGTTCACTTAAAACAATTCATGATACACTTTGGAGTGGTGAATTATGCAGTGTTCAGGAAAGGAAGCTGGCGATATTAGTAAGTAGCTGAAGGTAAAGAAGGGGTGGTGCTGGGGAAAGGGCCTTGAGGACATCTGAAGAACTCTTGATGAGATAGATGTGCCTGTTTTTAATTAGGCAACTGTGTTTTGTGTAATAGTGGGATAAAATTTGGAATATCTAAGATTTTAGTTAAATTTGATCCAAAAGAGATCATTCTTCAAAAAGATTTTCATCTCGTAAAAAATATTTTTTAAAAATGGTACCCTGAATGAGGTAGAAAGATAGAAACAGTGAAAATATTGGATGTGAAATACTGTGTATATGGGAAAAATCAAAGTTCTCGCTTTTGTAGGCTTTGTTCTGAATTTAGTGCACTGTTCACCACCCACTGTTACTTTCTAAACTGAAAATATGGCTTCCAGAGAGGTCAGTTAAATGTTACAGCTTCAAATTCTAAGATTTCTTTCAGATAATGTTATGAAAAAAAACAAAATCATAATTAGAAAACAAACAGTCAGCTGGGCGGTGGTGGCACACGCCTTTAATCCCAGCAGGTGGATCTTTGTGAGTTCGAGGTCAGCCTGGTCTACAAGAGCTAGTTCCAGGACAGGCTCCAAAGCCACAGAGAAACCCTGTCTCGAAAAAACAAAAAACAAAAAAACAAGAATGTTTTACAAGTTAATGTTGTAAGTTAGTTGAATTGATATAAAGAATTTTCTGTTGTTGAGCATGTACTTACATGTTACTTTTACTATTTAGAAATCATTTTTCAAAGCTTTTCTAATCAAATAATTGACAGTCTCTACCAATGTAATAGACTAGTTTGAAGAACAGCACCCTTCACTATTAAAAGTAAGATTGAGTAGTCAGGTGTGGTGCTCACGACTTTAATCTCAGCACTCAGGAGGCAGAGGCTGGTGAATCTCTGAGAGTTCCAGACCGGCCTGGTCTACAGAGCTAGTTCCAAGACAGCCAGGGCTACACAGAGAAACCTTTCCCCCACCCCCCCAAAAAAAGTAAGACTGAATGCGTGGTCCTTAGACCTCTCTTCTCTCTCCCATCTCCCTTCCTTACATGCGTACATCAGCAACATATTTCTTCCTTCGGTCACTAGACTGAGTACAGATCGCTAACTTCCCACACCTTACTGGCTACTTTCTCTTCTGCCTTCAGGTACCAGTTTTAATACGACATGACCAAGGATGCTATCCTTGAAGCTTCAAGCTAAAATAAAAGGAGCGTCCATTGCCACAGTGATTCCAATTAGTACATAGAGTTTGTGAGGCATTTACAAGGTCGTTCCTGCTAGACTGGCCTTCCAGGTGGCCTGTGTGCCTGTGTCGTTCCCAGTTACTAGCACAGTGCCTTATGCTCTGTAGGCATTCGGGACAGACGAAGTGAATGATTATGATTATGAAGGAAAGGAAGCCTGCTTCCATTTACTGCCACGTCAGCTTTGTTATTTAGGGGAGAACTCCCCCAACACATACTCCATTGTTGCTATTCTTACAGATGTTGAAAGTTGAGATAGGTGATATAACTTGCCCAGGAACAGGTAGCCACTGTTTTCATTTTGTACAGATTTAAGAAGACATGTAAAATATAACCGTAATGTTTTACTTTCTTAAGTGTCTTTTCCATCTTATTTCTACCATCTTTTATTTTTTGCAGTTGTTGGGGTAAACTTAAAATGATCAAAGATTGAGTTTTTCTTTATCTGTTCTTTTGTAAATATTAAGACATTTCAGTTTATTAAAGTTTGTTAGAATTAACTGTACTTATTACCTTAATACTTTGGGGTGTATATAGGCCAATGTTTGCAGATATGAAATCACCATCAATAGGTGGACTTCTCACAGTGATTAATGTGACTTTTTCCATTGTCAGCATGTTATCGGGTGGTTCAGATGGTGTGATTGTACTCTATGACCTTGAGAACGCCAGCAAACAACCCTATTACACATGTAAAGCAGTGTGTTCCGTTGGCAGGTGTGTATTTGAAAGTGTAACTCATGAATATGTAAACAGTTCAGTATTGTTTGCATCAAATGCAAAACATGAAAATAGTCATATGCACGACAGAAGCAGCTTTTAGAGTTGACTGAGAATTCCCTTGATGCTTTTTTAAAAAACAATTAAAATTTGATAGATTTTTTTTGTCATGTGATTTCCTTCAGTTTTTGTATCAGCTCTCAAATGAAATTCTAAAAAGACTTTTGTCTTTTTTGTTCTTCACCTACAGAGCATATCTCAGTGGCTATGGTTTTAATACCACTTAGCATAAGGTTCAGTTATGAATGTTTCACTAATTATAAATGCAAACTAAATTTTCAACTCATGCTGAAGGAGAATAGATTAAAAACATGATGTAATAAATGTATAGGCAATCCTCTCAACACACACACAAGCACGCACACATGTGTGCCCTTCTTTCTTGTCTGTTACTCACTCAAAATGCTCAGCTTGAACTGGGTGGCGGTGGTGCATGCCTTTAATCCCAGCACTAAAGAGGCATAGGCAGGCGAATTCCCACCCTGGTCTACAGAGTGAGTTCCAGGGCGACTCCAAGGCTACATAGAGAAACTATCTCAAAAAAAAAAAAAAAAAAAAGACAAAACACAACAAATAAAAATGCTCAACTTAAAAAATAGACCTGTTTGTCCTGACTTCGTTAGCTGTTTGGTAGTTCCTTTGTGACAGTCATTTAAAGCTCTTTTGCCATTTCTCTGATCTGTTAAGTCAACTTTGCCTTAGAGACTAGCTGCCAAGGGGTGTTCTCACAAGAAGCTCACAGATCTCAGCAGCCACCCTTCTATAGATATTCCCAAAGCATGGAAAGGCCCTGAGGTCATGGTCCCGAAGATTTATAATTGTGTGTCTACAGTGTTGATTCATTTTAGAAACACAATTCTTGAAAATCTTTCTGAGACTCAGCTTGTTTTGTTTTAGAGGTAATTTTATTTGCTCCCTCATTCTTACCAGGTTTCTGTAAATATTATTGTTAAAGCATCTTGAAAGCTGTTTAAAAAAAAAAACTATTGTGTAAATGGAAAGGAATATAGATAGCTAAAGAAAAAGTCCAGGGTCAGCTAGGTGGCTCAGTGAGTTCTGTCCCTGACCCCACACGGTAGGAGAGAAGTGGCCTTGACTCCAGGTCCATTTAGCAAACAACAGTAGTAGGCAAGTTACTGCAGAGCCTGTGAACTCCCCAGCGTGGGCTTTTGACCACATTTACAATAGCAGCACTGTTAGTGTTCAGGCACCTACTGGCCTCTCCTTGGGGTCCTGACAGCTGCAGCCACTAAGGACACCTCCTGTGCACATTCGCTACATTTCCTTTTAAAAGGTGGATCTTGCCCACCTCCCTTGTCTCTCTCTCTCTCTCTCTCTCTCTCTCTCTCTCTCTCTCTCTCTCTCTCCCCCCCTCTCTCCTGCTACTTTATCTCCAGGGGTAGTCTCCGCCCCCCTCTTTGTCCCCTACTCTTCCCTTTTCTCTGTCCCTTTTTCTGTCCCTTCTCTCTCCTCTTCCAGTAACCCCCCATGTGAGCCCTGTTGTATGGCATGACTGTCCCTCCTCACTGTTTTTTACATTTTAGCAAGCACTTAAGTTTTTTGTGTGGAGCAGACCTCAAATTCATTCTTGACACTGTTCACTACCTTGCCTGGCAGATTGGGATTGTAGGATGCAGGATCCCTTTCTGGGTGGTACCACTGAGGAGACTTCTCTCCTAGTGGCTTGCATAACACCTCCCCACCATAAAAGCTAGTCCACTGGGAGGAAGGTTGTGGGTTAGTTCCAGCTTGATTTCTCCATGGCCTAAAACCAAGGTGTATGGTGTCTTTAGCATTCTTGTCTTACCATCATCTAGTTAATGTTGGGCAACCAAGATCAGTAACAATAGTACACAGTATGAGACCTGCTCTTTAAGAGGATTGAGCCATTTACACACTTTCTCTCAGCCTTAATCAGAAGAAAAAAACTAAATTTTCAAGTGCTGGCTTCAGAGATCTGTCTGCTTCTGCCTCCTGAGTACTGGGATTAAAGTTGTATACCACCACACCTGGCTTTAATTTAATAATTTTAAAATCTAATGTTACCTGAGATTAAAATTTAACACATTAAGTTTATTAAATAGTGAAAAAGATATATTTTATACACCCAGTATATATGCTAGATAGTGTTACTCTGTGAAGAACTATGATTTGATGAGGTTTTTAGTGTGTAATATAAATAAATGTTAATGTGTCTATATTTTATTTTATTATGAATTTTATTCATACTCTAAAATGGCTATTTACAGTATCATTTTAAAATATAATTTCAGAAAATTTATTGTAGTATTACTATTTAGTAAATACTGTACTAAATAATTATTAGAAATACTATACTAAATAATTGTTATTTAGTATAGTATTGTGGCTTAGACTACATTGTAATATTTATTCTCAATTTACTTTATTTGTTCTTGGGCATTAAAAAGATTCTATTACCAATATTCTTACTAAATGTGCATGGGAATAATGTCATATATAAGAGAATGATACAAAATCGTATCCTGTTTTAAAATTTAAATTTAAAATATAATTGAGCTTTTGTTTGTATTTCTACAATAAGAACTGGTTTTATTTAAAACAACCCACCAGAAAGTCTATATTGAAATCAAGATTCTTAGAGGATATCAAAGTTGATTCTGTTCATTTTAAATAGAACTTACTGAAATAATGATTGTATATCATGAAATTGTGGAGAAAATTAGAGAGTCAAATTTACCAAATGGATGGAAGGAAGGAAGGAAGGAAGGAAGGAAGGAAGGAAGGAAGGAAGGAAGGAAGGAAGGAAGGAAGGAAGGAAGGAGAAAGAAAGGTTAAAACAGGGAACACAACCAAGGTCACACTACAGAAATAATTCCGTTAACTTTGGAACGTGTGACCAGTGTAGGCCAACTCTACAGCCTTGACTAATAGCTAACTCTCCTCGGGATTTCCATTCAGACCTGGACAATGAGAGTTCCAAACAGATCAATAAAGCTAAGCATGCAGCTTTGATGCCAAGGAAGAGGAAAAGACAATGCCTAGAGTCCCTCGATTTCTATAGCAGGAAGTAGGTACTTACTTGCTCGCAACAAGGCAGAGGTTCCTTGTAACTAGGAGGAGTTTGAATCCTTAGCAGAAAAGAAAGGCACCTGAGTACTGCTGCCCACACATTTGACTGTCCAACGTCTGTATGTGCCTCCCCCATAGCCTTTAAAAACACGGTTCTGGCATAACCTAATGATGTATCTACAATATCAGAATTATGCAAATTGTGGGCTCAAGTAAATAGTTAACCCATATAAAATGATGGAGAAAGCAGAAAAGTTAGTGACTGCTTATACATACATGCACACATACAGAAACATGGGTGGTCATACAGACCATATGTTATATACATCTGTCTCGAGGCCAGAGCAGGCCTTGAGGACCTTGCCTCTATTTAGCACTACAGACATTCACTCTTAGAAATTAGAGCCCACAATGGTCCTGTTTGCACAGGGTTACATAATGTTCTATACACTTGTTTGTTTTATTCTTGGAAATTTCTCCCATGTACAAACATAACAAGAGTATAATAACCAATTACTTATCACCCAACCTTCACAACTGTCAATCATAAGCTATTTGTTTCATATCTACTACATATTCAAACAGTTTCAGGATTATTTTTAAGTAAATCCCAGATAACATTATTGCATCAATAAGTACTTGTTTGTGTCACTGAAATGAAGACCTTTTTTGTAAATATAACCCTAGTACCACTATCTCACATGTACAGTAATCCCTGGAATCAAACATCTAGTATTCAGATTGCCTTCATAGTCTCAAAAGTATCACAATGCCAGTTTGTTTAAGATTGAGTAAAATGGCATACGTACTGTACTGATGACTGGCTCAGAGAACACAACATGTCTTTTAAGCAGGACAGCCTTTCACAAGATGATACTTGTAATTTCATGATAGGTTACATGAAACTAGTAGGTCCCATTGACACCCACCAATTGCATTCTTTTGTGCCAGAGTAAGTTTCTTGGTAAACAACAGTGTGTGGGTTCCCATGGCAGTGTGTGAAGCATTCCCCAGTTCTCAAATAATGATAGTTGAGAAAAGAAAAGCAAAAAGATGTATTTTTCCAGTTAGAAAATCCCCTGTCACCTGCAAGGTGAAAGAAGTTTGCTATAGTTGTCCAACACCCCCACCGCCAACTGTATACAGTACAGGAATGAGTGATACCTGATGAGCCTTAGGAGAGGGCAGGCCCCCAACATCTCACTGCGGAAACTTAATCTGAAGATGCCTAGACATTCTCTCTCCCCTTCTTAACAGCTAGAACAGGGATGTGTGATGTGAGTGTAGTGATCCGTATCTCCTTACCCATGCCTGCTACTTTTTCATAGTACTACATTTGAAACCCACCCGAGTCAGCAGTCTCTAAATTTCTATTGCTGTTTTGTAGAAGCCATCCTGATGTTCACAAATACAGCGTGGAGACTGTTCAGTGGTACCCTCATGACACAGGCATGTTCACTTCCAGCTCATTCGATAAAACTCTGAAAGTGTGGGATACAAATACATTGCAGGTAAGTACATTAAAACCTTTCTAAAATGCAATGTAGGATAATGGAAAACTGAATCCTCAACCATATTGGTGTGGTTTCTTGATAAGACGTTCTGTGTGTCAGATATGAAAGTAGTATAGTTAAGGAGAACTAGTGTTTGGGCTTATATCCTGGTTAACTAACTTCTGCTGGTTAACACTATGACAGTGGGCAAATGCCAGCGCACCTGCATCGTTCCTTTGTCTGTACATAAGGACCAAGATGGCACCTTCTAGAATGGTTTTGAGGGTTAAATGAGCCAACATACATAAAATACCTAGCACAAGGCCTAACATGTAACCAGCATTCAAAACCTTAGCAAATATTTTTATTATTTGAAAACTTCAAGCTAAATAATAGAATTAGACTTTTCCCTTCTTTATCTAAAAACTTGCAGGAAAAGAAAGTTTTCATAATATAGCTTAGTAAAAATAGATAATAGAGATGAGAATTATATAATTAATGAAATTTAATTTATAGTACTACTTATCCTCAGCTCTATATCTACCTGCCTGTAAAACCTCTTTATAGAAATGTGACATAATTTTAGAGTTGGCATTTCCCAGGCTAGATAGTAAGTTCTGCGTTATCCAGACCCTGTCTAAAAAAAAAAAAAAAAAAAAAAAACTAAATAGATTAAATGCATGTCATGAACTTCACAGTGAGTGGAGTACCTTGTAGCTGAACCAATCCTCCATTGACAAAACCCAGCAAAGTTCTGTTTAAAGGTTTTGAAAACCTGCTAAGAAATCTAGATTCTGATAGGCTAGTTCTCAGAGAAAAGAAAGGTTTGTAAACGTAAATTGGACTTTACAAATGACACTTATGTTTTTATGTATAGCAGGAGACTGAGAAGGATGGCGTTGGAGAGTTTTTAAGAGATAGAGCAGCAACTGGTCATGTGGTATATGCCTATAAGTCTAGCATTTGGGAGGCTAAGGCAGGAAAGGCATGAGTTCAAAACCAGCATGGACTATCTTGTGAGTCATGGGTGATAGAGCAAGATCTAGTCTCAGAGCAGCAATAACAAAAACACACATAATTAGAAAACAGTCAGCTGGGCAGTAGTGACGCACACCTTTAATCCTAGCACTTGGGAGGCAGAGGCAGGCGGATCTCTGTGAGTTTGAGGTCAGCCTGGTCTACAAGAGCTAGTTCCGGGACAGACTCCAAAGCTACAGAGAAACTCTGTCTCGAAAAAACAAAAAAAAAAAAAAAACGGGTCCCGGGTTCTGGAATGGGAATTGGGTAATTTATTATGTCTGATGTGAAAGTAAAATAGAGATTATGAGTCAGTAACATTCAGTTGAAGAGAAGGAGCTTGCATAGAACAAATCCTGAGGGTGATCAGGACTTATAGGACAGAAGTGACAACAAACTCTGCAAAAATAATGAAAAGGAATAGCCAGAGAGTAAGGGACACATCTGTACATCTCGACACTGGGAGCCAGTGAAAAAGACTGTTTCAAGGACAGTGGGGTGATTGGCTGTCTTAAGGAAGCTGACAGACACATCAGATAGGATACCGAGGCTATCAGCGATAGTGAAAAAGTAGTGTGAACAAGAAAAGTGAAACAAACTAAGATTGCAGTGCGTTAAGAAATGGTAAGTGTGACCTGGAGAAATGACTCAGCAGTTAAGAGCCCTGGCTGCTCTCCCATCAGACCTGGGTTCAATTCCAAGCACCCACATGGAGCTCACTACTGTCTGTAATTTCAGTTCCAGGGGGGACACCCTCACACAGATATTAATGCAGGCAAAACACCAATGCACATAAAACAAAATAAATTATTCTAACCAAAGAAATGGTAAGTAATTAAAGATTGACAAAATTAATATGAAGAGGAGGAAAGAAAATTGAGAGATGGTAGGGTGTAAGCTTTGTTTATTTTGTCCTGGGATATTAGAATGAAGGGGACTTTATTTCAGTGCTTCTGGGAATGGCCCAGTAGAGATCATCACAGCTAACCTGTAGATTGAGAGTGCTTCAGTGTTGGGTCAGAGATTAGCGTGTGAAATGGGAGACACAAGGGGTCAGAGATTAGCGTGTGAAATGGGAGACAGACTGTTTTTCCAAGCGTAAGCAAAGGCGTCTGGCTGCATGAGAGATTGTGTGAGATCTGCTTCAGTGACTTTAATTTTAACTGAACTGTAAGATCTAATCACCTGTTGTGATTGACGAGGGATGTTTTTGGCCAGTGGAGAAAGTTGGAAATGCTGCAGGATATTGCAGACAACTAGTTTATTGAGATGGTGCATTGTAGGCTGGCAGACGTTACTAAAGCAGTGAATGCAACTAGGAAAAAAGTGGGCAGGAAAGAATGCTAGGGACTCTGGGGCTTGTTCAAAAGTTCTAGAGTAGTTGGTGAAGAAAGCCAGAAAGATAGATGTTGTGGTTACTGATAACTGCAATTTATCCTTCCAAAGGATTGTGATTAGCATACTGGAAACTGAGGCCATGTGGTGCTGAGAGGCAGATTCCTAGCTAGCTAGAACTTGGATGGAGGTGCTAGCCTGCTGGAGAGGGGTGGTGAGTCCATAGAGATGCTAGCCTGCTGGAGAGGGGTGGTGAGTCCATAGAGATGCTAGCCTGCTGGAGAGGGGTGGTGAACCTCTAGAGGCTTGTCTTTCCTTAATTTCTGGGATTTGTTATGTTTTAGTTGATAAATTGCTGACAGTCAATTAAAAATATGTTTAAAATGTGGGAAAGAGAATTTGTTAATTGATTTTGCGCATTTTTAACGTCTCTTGTTTAACAGGCTGCAGATGTGTTTAACTTTGAGGAAACGGTTTATAGCCATCACATGTCTCCAGCAGCCACCAAGCACTGTCTGGTAGCAGGTGGGTACACCATCCTTCTGCCCTTTGCATGTGGGAAACTGTCCCCTTTTAGGGCTATGTTTGACAGAAAAACTTTAAGCCAGGGAAAGATTCTTTTAAACATTATAAACTAGTGTAAGTCCAGCAATGCTATTATCTGGGATTCAGACTGTGAGAGTATTGATTCTCTATCTCCCTTTTTCTTTGTTTCTTTCGGTTTGTATGTGTTCCCTGACTTCTTTTAAGTCACTAAACTTGAAGATATTTGATGTGAACAAAATACGACCGTTTGAACTGGTGAGGTAGCTCAGTGGGTAGGGCTGTCGCTGCCACACCTAGCATTTGATCCTTGAAACCCACATGGTAGGATAGAGCTGACTACAGCAGGCTATGCTCCATCCTGGTACACACACACACACACAAAGTAAATGTAATGTTTTTAATTTATAAATTTTCCAGTTCAACACAATGAAAGGAAAACTTATTTCTCTCTAACATTGATTGAAAGCAGATACGCATCTATATAATTCCTGTAACAACAACAAATATTAGCGTATTAGGAAGAAAAATATTAACCTACTATCAGGTATCTGGTCCCCAGGACTCAGTTATTCCTGAGAACTGCTTCATCTATAGGAGAGAGACACTTAACGGATTTGCAAGGTCTGTTCGTCTGAGTCAGACTTGCTATGAAGCTGTGTCTAGCAACTGGAGGGGTAGTAATAGCATTAGCTTGAGAAAACTGAGCTGTTGAAATTGAATGATTTCCTGTGATAAAGTGGCAAAGAGCTATAAACACACTTAAAGTGCTGCTAGAGATTTCCTGTGATATTTTACTGTGGTTACCTCTCGGTCGTCTGTGAAGTAGCCCAGCAGCCTGTGCAGATCTGTAACTGTTGTGATGAGAATAGACTGTGGACCACAGGCTGTGCACATCTGTGTCTACTGTAATGAGAATAGACTGTGGACACACAGACTGTGCACATCTGTAGCTGCTGTGATGAGAATAGACTTTGGACCACACAGTTCTGCATGAATACAGTGCAAATACATTTCTATAATCATAAACATTCAAGATGATTTAGAGGTTTGTAAATGTATTGTGACATACATTTTATATTCCTGTGTAGATACAGTGAAAGTGTTGTGATTCTTAATTGTAGTTTGCTAGGATCTTATAATTTATAATAAATGCTGTATAAAATCTTTTTATTTTTTTCTTTGGCAGTTGGTACTAGAGGACCCAAGGTACAACTTTGTGACTTAAAGTCTGGATCCTGTTCTCACATTCTACAAGGTATTTTTTTTAATTGCAACAACTACTACTTTGAGTGAACTAATCAGTAAAGGAAACATGACTCACCATGTGTTCTTTGTAAATGGCATGACTGATGCATCTTGAGCTAGTTGTTAAGTCAGCAAAGAAAGAGAAGTCCTGCTGTGCAGTATTCTTGTCCAGCACAGCTATTGAGACATCTGTATGAACAGTGACTGTAAGGGGAACGCAGAGGATAAGGAGAACAGGAAATCCAGCTCAAAGCCGTCAGCCGTTTCTACGTTTAAATGACGAGCACTGGGACTTAGGTCATCAGATGGGTCTTGTGTCTGCTATCTGATAATGTGACTAATGGGGAAGCTTTGTTCCTAATATTTAAAAATTTTTTCTCCTCACTACAAATATTTAGAAAAAGTCTTGAAGCAATACTTTGGGGAAACTATATTAATATAAATGATTTTATTAATTTTTAGCCATATTAAATCATCTAATTCTAAATAACAAATGCTGGAATATAATTCAGAAATATATATATTTTATCAGTTTCTGAGAAATAAAATAAATATTCCAGAAAAACTTGATGGAATGGGTAGCTTTTTTTTAAGGTTTATTTTATTCTTTTATGTATATGAGTGTTTTTCCTGCATGTGTGTATGTGCACCACATGTGTACCTCGTGCCCTTGGAGGTCGGAAGAGGAAGTCAATTCCCCTGAAACTAAAGTTACTGTTTGGAGCAGCAAAAGCAGTAAGGCTCTTAACCACTGAAGCAGTTCTCGAGCCCAATGGGTAGTGATGACATTATTACTAATAATTAATTGCTGTTGATTAAAAAGCTAGGCATATGAAAATGTCTGATTAGAACAGTTCCATTAGGTAAAACTATTCTTTGAATTTATGACCTGTGTTTTTTAGGAACAAAGCTATTAAGATGCTTTTTTCAATCAAATTTTTCTTTTATAACTTTATAAGAAATACTTTATTCTGTAAAATGGTTATGTTTTATTACATTTCTAATTATAAAGATAGATGACTCTGTTATGTAGACTGATTGATAGAAATTAGTACTTGTATTTTTTTTTTTCAAAACAGAAGCCAGTTCTTTTATATTAAAAGGTCTTGGGTTAAAAACTTCCCACCAGTAGTACGTAAAGAAAAGGGTAACCAGGCCACAACCCTTGACCCCTGAGAAGCTAGGTAGCAGGAAGACCCTAAGAGAGACATTCATGGATGCCCCTGGGAAGGGGAAATAGATAAGATCTCCTGAGTAAATTGGGAGCTGAGTGTGAAGGGAAGTGGGGAGAAGATGAGGAAATGGGATGGTTGAGTTGAGGGAGGTATAGAGAGGGAGAGCAATGAAAGAGCTGTCTTGATAGAGGGAGCCATTATGGGGTTAGGGAGAAATCTGATGCTAGGGAAACTCCTGGGGGGGGGGGGATGATCCCAGCTAAGACTCCTGGCAATAGTGGAGAGGGTGCCTGAACTGCCCATTTCCTGTAATTAGGTTGGTGATCACCCCAATAGTCATCAGAGAACCTTCATCCAGTACCTAATGGTAGCATATGCAGAGATCCACAGCTAAGCACTGGGTCAAGTTCCCAGAGTCCAGTCAAAGAGAGGGAGAAGGGAATATATGAGCAAAGGGGTCAAGATCATTATGGGGAAACCCACAGAGACAGTGGACCCAAGCTCACTGACTCTGAACTGATAGCTGGGGAACCTGCGTAGGACTGAACTAGACCCTCTGAATGTGGGTGACAGTTCTGTGGTTCGGGCAGCCTGTGGGCCCACTGGCAATGGGACCAGGATTTATCTCTAGTACATGAACTGGCTTTTTGGAGCCCATTCCTTATGAGGGATGCATTGCTCATTCTTGATACGGGGGGGAAGGAGGGGCTTAGTCCTGTCTCAACTTGATATGCCAAAATTTGTTGACTCCCCATGGGAGGCCTTACCCTTTCTGAGGAGTGGACTGGATGGGAAGAAGATGGGGGAAACAGGAGGAGAGGAGGGACAGGGGAATTGTGGTTGCTATGTAAAATGGAAGAAAAAAAAACTTTTAATTAAAAAATTTAAAAAAAGAAAATGAAATTAAAAATACTTCTCAGAAATCTCACATTAGTATTTAAACATAGATGCTGCAAGTTTAAGTCATCATATATCTTCACTGCTATTTATGCTTGCTATTTTCTGAGTTAGGCAAAATTATTAGCCCCTTATATTTTATTTGTTTTTAAAATATTTTGTAAGTGTATAATTTTTATACTTTTGGATTTACAGGTCACAGACAAGAAATATTGGCAGTTTCCTGGTCACCACGCTATGACTATATCTTGGCAACAGCCAGGTAAATTGCAATATATTTGGTTTTATTATTAATATTAATAATTAGAAGCATTTTGAAAGATTGTAGTTTTCATAAGATACATATTTTATTGTATATAATTGTTAGTACCTGAAAATGAAATATTGAGTAACAAGTTTGAGTTTACATCAGCAAAGATTTCCTTTTGTGTGTGTGGTGCATGTGCAGGTGCACATGCTTGTGTGTAAGCCAGGGGCTGACACTAGGTGTCTCCCTTAGTTGCCTTCCACTGTGTTTATCTTCTGCAGCACGCAGCTGCACTTAGCTTTTCAGGGACCTGCACTCACGTCCTCATACGGGTGCTGCAGGGTTTACCTGTTGGCCATCTGTGCATGGTCATTCATCTTGAAGGCTTTCACCTTTTAGAACAGAGAGAAATCAGGAGAACCTCTGCATAAATCATCTAGCACTGCTAATAAAACTTGTTATTTTCTACATGGAAGTAAAACACTTCTCGCGTAAGATGACACTTTTAGTTTTTTTAGCCATAACTTTTGTCCTGATACAAAGTATGCATGTATCCATTGATTTAATTTGTTAGTATTTAATGGCTACTATCCTGATGGTGCAAGTCACAAAATAATCCCACACTAGTTCAGAATTATGAATAATAAAGGTTTATTTATTTAGGGGAGACTTCCAGATCACTGTCCTAGATAACAGCCCTCTGCACAAACAGGGAACAGAAACACACTCTAGCAGTTGGAGTACATGCATTTATAGTAAAGAGACCACACTTGTATCTTAAAGGCTATTGGCTGAAGGAGTGGAAGGAGCTCCCATAGCACTACCCAGTCCAAATAGTGTACTAAAGGCACAGGTTGATCATGACGTCAGAAAGACCAGTGCCTACAGAACATTCTAGAGTGCCTTAGTGGCAGTAGACTTTGAGTGCTAGTACAGGAAGAGGTCCAGCAGTTTTGAGGGTGAGGACTGAGGACTGAGGGAGAAATAGTGACGAGTGGACCTTCAGTAACTAGTACAGGAAGAGAGCAGGACTGCTTGCCGGTGTGCAGGTGGGGGTTGTCCACTCAAGGGCTGAGATCGTAAAGATACTGAACGGTAGGCTGTGGGAGGAGGGGCTGGCTACAGGTACATAAGCGCTGGACAGCTGTGCTCAGTTCAAGAATGGACTACAGCTGTACTACAGTACGGAAATCTAAACATCACATGACACAGACAGTGATTTTTGGTGATTGAAGGGAAGTGCCTCAACATATGAAAGTTGTGGAAGCTCTGCTAAAACAAAGAAAACCACACACACACAAACTGTAGGAGGGATCAGTAACGTGACCTGAGGAGGTAAAAGTATGTGATTTCTGAGGTACAATGATGTCTAGACTGTAGATATCAAAAGACATCTAGACCTGGCAAGATGGCTTAGTGAAGACACTTGCTGCCAAGGCTGCCAAGGCTGCCAGCCTGAGTTCAGTCCCCAGAGCCTGTGTGGTGGGAGGAAAACCAGCTCATGCAAGTTGTCCTTTAACCTTTGGCTTGTGTTCATGGACACATGTATGCACACACACACATACACATGCATGCATGTAAATAAGTAAAATCAAGTTTTTAAAGAATATTGTTAAGGTCTTTAGGCAGACATGATAGGTGACTGGATCTAGTTGGGAGCTCATTTATTGCTGGGTATTTCTTAGAGGTGAAATTGATACTTAATTTGTCTTTGCCTTTGTTGTTTCATATTCTGTTGAAGTGCCCAGTTTCTAGAAGATAGTAAATACAGTTTTCTAGCAAAGACTTATTGTAGCACAAAAAAACAACTGGAAAGAGATTGTCCTTATTATATATCTTATTTTGAAAATTTTACTATAAAAAGCAAGATAATAAATGCTTAAACAATGAGATTATTTAACTGCTTGGTTGTCTAACTTGAATTCTCCATGACAGATGGTACTTTTCCATTAGGAAACAGAACAAATCCTTTCTCCCTCCAGTTCCTCTTGCTAGTTGTTTTGTCAGAACAATGAGAAAAGTAAATGAGATAACATTTGAGAAATACAGAAAATATGTCATAATTAGTGTGATAGGAGAAAAGCAGAATTCTAGCCTTGTGATCTGTAAAGAAAAATTATCTTTCTTTACTATGTTTTCACTATTTTATGGGAATGTTGAGTTTTGAATGTTGAATATTTGTTGAAAATAAGAATACAGTACAATTATAGGAATATATTTGTGACATAGAGTGAAACGTCCATGTTCAGTCTAGCAAAGTAAAGAGTAGAGTCATTACCCTAGCCACACATGTCAATATAAGAGCTATTTTTTCTCCTCAGCGCTGACAGTCGAGTGAAATTATGGGATGTGAGAAGAGCATCAGGATGTTTGCTCACTCTTGATCAGCATAATGGGAAGAAGTCACAAGCTGCTGAATCAGGTAACAAAGACCACAGTCAATAATACAGTAATGGTTTTATGGTGGCTTTCTAGATTGAAACCAAATAAGTATATATTGACAAATTAAAAATTAATTTTTGTAAATGGTATTCAAAATCAAACATAATTGTGGTTTTCTTTCTCCCAAGATCCAAATAATTATGTAGACTGCTTTTGCCTCCAAACTTTCAAACATACAAGCTTCTCATGTGTACCTTGGTTTGCAAATATGTTTGCTCTAAGGCCAACTATGTCAACTCAGTTTTACACAGAAAGCTGCAGTAGGGTGATGCAAGAGCGGTGCTCTGTGCTTCTGTGTCACCACAGAGATAAGTCAGGTGCCATCCCTGTGGCACTCGGCTCAGTTGTGTTTTTATACAGGATTTAAAAGCAGTGTCCACCCATTCTAGACTAGAAACTCAGTTGGTTTTTTTTTTCCCAAGATTAGAATAGTTTTTCTCTGTTAAACTTTCTCTTGATAGAAAACATTAATATTTTCCTTTCTTTATTTCTTTTCTCTCTTGATAGTGCTGGAGACTGAACCCAGGCTGGCCTAAAACAAATGGCCCTCTTTCCTTCCTCTGCCTCCCAAGTGCTGAGATTATAGGCATGCCCTGCCATTTTGGATTTTTAATACTTTGTCAAATGATTTCTAATTTAGAGGGAAATATATGAAAGCGTTGAAAAGCATTTAAAGTAAGTTATTTTTAATTGAATTAGTACAGTTTGCTTCCTGAAAAAATTATACTTGGCAAATATTTTGCCTATTCTTTTCCTCTACAGGGTTTTTTTAATGTAGCTTATCTTGCTTACATAACCTAAAGATTGGTTAATTTTATGCATAATCAACTTACATTTTAGGTAATTCATTAGTTATTCTTTAATGTGTTTAAAATATACTTAACCCAGAAAAAGATAAATTGAATGTGTTTTCATTGCAGCAAACACTGCTCACAATGGGAAAGTTAATGGCTTATGTTTTACAAGTGATGGACTTCACCTGCTCACTGTTGGCACAGACAACCGAATGAGGCTCTGGAATAGCTCCAGTGGGGAGAACACACTGGTGAGAGGCTTTAAAGGACCTGTTCAGTAAATGGTCTGTGATGTACATTTATACACATTATATTACATTTTCTATAGAGGTGACTTCATTTCTTGTCTTGAGTCACAGCTGTTAATATATTTTGAAAAAATACTTGAGGTATGAACGGCTAATTCTCAGGCTCGCCACCCCACCTGGCACCCCGGCTCATTCCCTGTCTTACTGTGCAACTGCTATAACAGGGGTGAACTTGATGCTTTTAATTAAAAGATTGAGAACCACTACAGATAAAGGTACCAACAGTCAAATTTTACATTTAACATTGGTCATATCCTTTCCTTTCCCCATCTTTTCTAGCTAGTAGATCTCTTTCAAGTACTGAGGGTCACTTTGACTACTGTTGTTAATACTAGTATTTCTAGTGCTAACACTGATAGGATTGTCTCTGTGTGCGACACAATGGGCACAGACTCCGAGGCTTGTTCCTGCCAGCCAGCCCTCTGCCACTAACTGCTCCCCCCACCGTCCAGTATGTCGTGTGGAGTGGTCCTTTAACCTGTCTGAGGGGCTTAGGCTAGATGGAGAACAAGTAAAGGCTTTCAGTAGAGAAGTGACAGGACCAGACTGGACAGTGTTCTGCAGTGTGTGTCGGAGTCTAATGTGACGACTGCAAATGGCACTGTGCATATGGCCATGGCTGGTACCGTTTAGTCCATTTCTGTCTCCTTAAAGGTGGTGGCGCATGCCTTTAATCCCAGCGCTCGGGAGGCAGAGGCAGGCGGATCTCTGTGAGTTCAAGGACGGGCCCCAAACTACAGAGAAACCCTGTCTCCAAAAAAAAAAAAAAAAGATAATACTTCATCAAAGTAAGTTATTCATAAAGAATTAAACATAGCTAACTTAGAATCTCTCCTAGAAAGGGGACTTGAAAGGACTTGAGACACTGATTCCAAAAAATAAACTCCAAGGAGAAGCCTTGTCCTCAAATTTGTAAACATCTTACAGATCAAAAACAAATTCCACCCCGATTTACTTAATACTCTTTTCAGCTTGGGTGTCATCATTTTGTAAATCATGAATATTGTCTGTCTAAAAACTAATTACAAGTTTAACAATGTAGTGCTGAGCTACCAAATAGCGGGCAGAGTGTAGTAGCAATCCTCTGTTTTTGCCTTACTTGTGTAAATATGTGCAAATACACATCTCCAATATCTTTAATGATAAACTATATACAAATATTGAGTCTACATATTAAACTTAGTAAAGCTTAATTTCTTATTTTTTAGATAACAATAAATAGAAATAGAATTTTAAAAGTTTTCCCCTCACACAATCTTTAATGGATCCTTAATGATCCTTGATGTAATCTCCCCATAGTTTGAAGTCTGGAGACAATGTCTTAAAGTACAGAGCAAATTCCAGCTGGGCCAGTTCACAAGGAGACACGTTTGTCACAACAAAAGAAGAGAAGAATAGAGAGTGGGAATTGGTGATGTGTCCCAGTTACTGGCGCATCCTTCGTGTTGTGTGGTGGCGCAGGGAAGGAACTGAGACTGTTGGCACCACTGTTAAGCCAGCCACAGTGCTGTTAGTTTCTCCTTGTGTCAGCGCTGGCCCCAGTGTGTCTGTTTAACTACACTAATGCCCTAACTGTTCCTAGCTCCTCCACGTTTCCGCGCTGTTCAAACTGACTGCCTTCACCAGTTGTATAAGCCGTGCATTCTTGCGCTCTGGCTCTGCCACTTCCCATTTCCCCACCTTTAGTGCACTGATCTCCTTAGAGATAGAGATCTGCCATCCCCGCTTGCCCTTCTATTCTGCTGGACCGACTGCAGCCTTCACTTTAGAGTACCCCTCCTGCGGCTACAGCTTAGCTTTCAAGGTTCATCTCAGCCTGTCTTTTGAATCTTCTACTCTATCTTAAAAGCTCCCATAGTACCCTGGGCTTATTGTCTTGAAGTGTACTATGACCATCACTTCACACGATGAAAGAAAAATGTCATATAACAAAATGTTTCAGTGGTTTTGTTAACATAGTTTAGATGCAGCCTTTGAGTCTGATGTGTACTAGCCAAGATTCATTGATAAATTACTTACCTTTGCCAGGCATGGTGTCCCACACTTTTAATCCCAGCACTCTGGAGACAGAGGCAGGCGAAATCTCTGAGTTTGAGGCCAACCTAGTCTACAAAGTGAGTTCCAGGACAGTCAAATATACACAGAGAAACCCTGTCTGGAAAAAAAACAAAAAAAGAAAAAAAAGGAAAAGAAGTTACTTAGCCTTTCCATGTATTCCCTTCTTTCTGCCCTCTTTTCCATGATGTTTCCTGGGTTTTACAGGGGTTGATACAGGTGTCCCATTTGCGTGACTAAGCACACAACAGTCACTTATTCTCAGCACTTCCATCAGTTAGGGGTTTTTGCGCTAGCTGCTGCCCACTGCAAAAAGAAGCTCCTCCTGAAGCAGCACTGGTCTGTGGGTATAAACATAAATATTTAGAAGGCTGTGATACCATGTCCCCTTAGCATTAGTAGTAGGTCCCCTCTAGGAGGTGTGAGTTCCACAGCCATAGCTTTTGACTGGGTTTGCAGTAACAGTGGTCTCAAACCTACTCAGAAAATGGTTGATTCCCCAAAGATCTTTGGTGCCACTATTTCACCCCGTGGCATGTTGGTGTTGTACTCAGGGTTCACCACTGGGTAATACCATTAATAACCCTTCTCCCCCATAAGCCTGTGCCACACCTTCCAACACTGAAAGCTCACTAGCATGGGTGGTTTGGGGATCAGTTATAACTTGGTTTCTCTATGTACTACATCCACAGTGAATGGCATCTTCAGCAATAGGGTCATGCCATGCTGATGGGCAACCAAGAGCAATGGCTGTATCCTTTGTTACTTGAAGGGCCTCTGGGTCTCACTGACCAGTAACTTGTAGGAAAGTATCCCACGTCTGGCGCTGAGATTTTCACTTAACTGTGTCTTCTGTGAGAAGCATTGTCCTCCCATGCATGGTACTTGTGTTTAAACTCCTTTAGGATATCTAAATATCCTATCCTTTAGGATATCTCCATATCAGCCCTATATTCCTGCCCCTCCCCATTTATGGTCCATTCTAACTTCCAGAACCATCCCTCCCATAGTCAGATGGTACATACTGGCTCACCAGGTAGAAATGAAGATAGCTCCTCCTAATTAATTAGTCTGAATCAATAAGTCTGAACATCACTGGCTGGCTACCTTCATTTCCCAGGTGCACTCATGTGTGTGATGTCATTTGTGTTTTTTCAATGACACTATGGTAAATGGTTTTGTTTCCGTTTAGCATATTAGAGGAATGGAATTTGGAGATTAAATTTGAGTGGCCCCTCTAACATAGATTTCAGAACCCAAGCTCAGTGTTTGATGTACTTCACCTCAGCTGCCAGAGTGGCTAGAGGCACAAGCTCGGTTCCAGTTCCACTTGTTTTGCCCTTGTGTTGTATTGAGCCCTCTGGGCATGGTACTCTCTGCTGCTTAATTGTTTCCTTAAGATAAATTCCCATGAGCAATTACTAGATCAAGAAGTAAGAATATCTTTATTGTTCAGCTAGTTTTAATAAAAGTGGAAAGTGTACAGCAGCATTAACACCGCTCATCTGCACACTTAAGATGGTTGTAATGATCAGGTGTGCATTGTATTGTTTATTACAACTCTTTCTTAAGAAAAGTTTAGTCCCATTTGTCCCATTTGAAGGAATAGCCACATCATGACACCAATTACATGTTCTCCTTACTTTTTACCAATATGAAGGTTTCTTAAAATAGCTCAACCAGAAGCTGGGAATGTAATAAGGTTAGAGGTCTCACCCAGCATCCATGAGGCCCCTGAGTTTTGTCTTCAGATACCAAAAAGAGAGGGGAAAGTTTTTGAAAGTTTGACAGTCAGAAATAATTCAAGTTTGACTTAGTTGACAGATGGCAATCTGTCCCTTGTGGGTTTGTTCACAATTTCTATTTCTTCAAATATAAAATGTACATTTGTATCATTGGCCCTTGTTTTTATTAAGATATTAGTTTCTTTAAATTGTAACAAGGGAAGGAAGTGTTTTTTTTTCAGTCTTTGTTGCTTTTTAACGCAACTTAAAAAATGAGTGACATTATGGTTTGAATTCTGCAGGTGAACTATGGGAAGGTCTGTATTGACAGCAGGAAAGGACTGAAGTTCACTGTCTCCTGGGGCTGCAGCTCAGAGTTTGTTTTTGTTCCATATGGCAGCACCATTGCTGTCTATGCCGTTCACTCGGGAGAGCGGCTGACTGTGCTTAAGGGACATTATAAGAGTGTCGACTGCTGTGTGTTCCAGCCTCATTTCCAGGTAAGAATGATACTTAGGGGAATTAACAACCATTAGACGGCTGGCTTGCCAGACTAGTAGAGTGTGTAAAACAGGAAGTTGCAGTTCTATTTTCAAGTGTTATATGCTTTTAATCATTCTGAAGTATGATGCCAACAATCCATCATTGAGATAGTATTTCTTTCAGAGAGATTAATAGAGCCTAATTCTCATATGGCATAGGAAGTGTATATGAATCAATATAATACTGTGCAATTGGTTGGGATATGTTGTCTTTTCATTTGAATATGAGCTCCATTTAACCATTTGAAATGTAATCAAGTATTTTCTCGTGAATAATCCTTTAGGTAAAAAATATATATGTTCCAAACTATAGTATACCGTGGTTTAGCTGTGTTATCTCATTTCTTTATTTTCTGCCAGAGGCTGATGGAAGTGTGCCTTTGCAGGACTAGACACTGAAATGACTAGTAAAGAATACCTTTGAATCAATGCAGCTCACATCATTTCTCACATTTATTTATGTGTGTGTGGAATGGCACATACGAGGGCATGCATATGGAGATCAGAGGACAACTTACAGGAATCGACCCTCTCCCTCCATCCTGTGGGACGGCAGGCTAAGCAGCAGGTGCCTTTGCTCACTGAACCACCTCAGCAACCCAAAATTTGTTAAATGCTCACCTTAGTCAATTTTCTATTCATGTGACCAAAATACGTAACTGGAGACAGCTTCCCAGGAGAACAGTTTGCTTGAGCTTATGATTAGAAAGGACACAGTTTGTAATGGTGAGGAGGTCAGGCTGCAGGGACACAATGCAAGTGGTCTCTGCCTCAGCCGGCAGAAGGCCGAGCAAGGTGAATGCTGACACTTGGCTTGGCTCTTCTTCAGTCTGGGACCCCCCCCCCTCCTGGCTGATAGCACCCAGATTCATGGCGGTGCTTCCCTCTGCAAACAAATCTTTCTGGAAACACCTCAAAGGAACAACTACAAGTGTTTCAGTGTGTTTTCAGAGCCAGTCAAGTTTGCAGTGAAGATTGTCAGAGTCTGTGAATTTTGTTAAATGTCTTTACTTTTTTCTTTCAAAGGCATTTTTCTTTTTTTCTTTTTTTTATTTATTTATTAAAGATTTCTGTCTCTTCCCCACCGCCACCTCCCATTTCCCTCCCCCTCCCCCATCAAAGACGTTTTTCATTTCTGTTGGATCAAAGAAAACAGTCTTTCTGAGACACAAGCAAAACCTTAAACAAGATATTCTGATTACAAAGTATATGCCATTCTTCTAGGCGGGTGCTTATTCGCAGAAAGGCCTAGGAGTCTGTTGGAACTGTACCAAGAAGGGTCTAGAGAGATGACTCCGCAGTTAAAACATTTGCTCCTCTTACAGCAGACCTGGGTTCAGTTCCCAGCACTCACTCAGCAGCTCATAACCATCTGTAACTGGTTTCAGGGAACCTGATGCCCTGTTGGCCTCCCCAGGTACATGGTACCTGACACACACGGTCCACACACATTCATATAGGCAAAACATAACAGGACCAAATAGGCTGGGTGCGGGGACATGGACACCTGCACTCCCAGCATTCTGGATTCTTTTCAAGAGGTCAAAGTTGTGCTGGGCTACAGAGCAAGTTTCAAACTAAAAACAAAATATTCTGAGACAGATTGCCAGACACCTCGGCTGGTCTGTTACCTGGGAAATGCTCTGCCTGTTATGTTTTATTCTACTTTGTTTTTGAAACAAGGTCTCATATAAACCAGACTGTCCCCAAACTTGCTATGTAGCCGAGAGTAATCTCAAACTTCTGATCCTCCTGCCTCCAGTTCCCAAGTGCTAGGATTAAAGTCATGTGCCACTACTCACAGCCAAATACCACGTCTTTATCCGCTTCAGACTCAGAAAGATTGGGTCACTGAACACATCAGGAAACACTGCGTACTTAATTTGCTGCATGACCAGAATGCTTTCAGTTTGTTGGGAAGGAGTGAGCATTGTTCAGTGGGAGCAAACAGCATGTCTGTTAAGACACTGACACACATATGTGCATCAGCCCATGACTCCGTCCATGTCCTGAATGTCTCTGCAGACAGAGTGGGGTCCTGAAGCTTTGGAAGAACAGCCGGGTAGCTGTAAGCTAAATGGAACTTTTGGCTTGTTTTTGTAGAATCTTGTTTTCTTCTTTGAAGTCATTATTCTAGATGCCTCAGTTTTTGTCAGAAAAAAAACATTGTACATTTTACTTTTTCTAACACTTAGAAATATGCTCATGAGTATTGACACAACTAGTAAGACATTGATGTCTATAAGATTTTCTCACTGTAAGCTCTCACGCTTGGCTCTATTTTAAAATATAAAGCTTCATATTATATTGGTTATTCCTGGGAAGATTCCAAGGGCAGTGGAGTGGAAACTCTCATTTATATAGAAGGTACAAATTGGTATGATCTTTTTGGAAAATGAAATCTCAGGATATAACCAGAGCTTTGTAGTATTTCTAAAAAGTTTGCCTGTGTCATGCACAGAATTTAAAGACATCACATTTTTAAAAAACTGAGGAGCATTATTGTATTTTGTTTAATGAATAGAAATTAAATAAATGAAATTAGTCTAAATTAATTAACCTACTTAGTCTGATCATTTCAAAAATTGATACAGCTCATTTCCGCATTATACCAGCTTTAAATTGATCAACAATCAGTCTTTGCTTTCTGTGTTACAGGAACTGTACAGTGGTAGCAGGGATTGCAATATTCTTGCTTGGGTACCATCTTTACATGAACCAATACCTGACAACGATGATGAAGTAAGTGGTATTTCTACCTCTTGTGCAGTGATTGCTAATTATAAAGATTAGTCTTTTATTTGATGGGGGAGACTGTTAAAGCAGTTCTAGCTGTTTTCTGGTTGTACAGATAGTTTTTGCCACACACCCATTTAAAATTCAGAAAAATAGTAAAAGAACATAATTTCTCAATTTTAATTAGTAAAGATTTTTTATTTGCTTTACTGTTTTTCCCTGTCATTGATTTTTTTTAAAGCAATAGTTAATTTATAGACACGTAATTTAGAGTTGTCTCTCATTGAAATGATACAATAGCCCCCATTCATGTATGAGTAAGATTTGGAAACTTTTTTGTAGCGGGAGGTGTTGAGACAGGGTTTGTCTATGTAGCTAGCTTTGGCTGTCCTGGAACTTACTCTGTAGACCAGGCTGGGCTCAAACTCACAGAGAGCCACTAACCTTTGTCTCCCAAGTGCTGTGATTACAGGCATATGCCACCATTGCCCAGCCACGAATTAGAAATATGTTTAATGATATGGTAATCTGTCATTTATATGTCATAGTTTAAGTATTTGTTTCTGTTGATTGTTTTGAACAACATCAATATAAATATATTTTCAAAAGCTGTTCATATTTCTAATTAGTTTTAGGATATACTCCTAAAAGTAGAGTTATCTCTTTCTGTTGTTTGTTTGCTCCCTGTCTGGCTTTAAGCCACCAGGACAACTGTATTGTGGCCAATACAGTTAATCTTCTCTTTGGCTATTCTGAAGAATTTGGGCTTCACAATGAGAGCTGCTTAAGGAGCTCTTCCTTCCCCAGAACTCCATACCACACTGATGATGGGGGCAAACATTTACCCATGTCTGTTCACTGACAAGATTCACAGTCTACCAAGGTTGGCAGGTGAGCATAAGCCCTGGTTCCTCTCTAAATGTTAAGACCACATACCAGCTTTACCAGAGTCACCTGATGGCATTTGTCTAAGTTGATCCTGTGGTGACACATGCCCCAGCATTACCTTGACCTTCTGGGTGCCTGTGGTGCCACCTATCAGCCAAAAATCTGTCTTTTCACAATGTCAGTTCACACTTAGATCAGCAACCTCACAGTGCCTCTCTCAGGATGATATGACAGGGTGAATAAAAAGCCTTAAGTACAGGTGTTAAACAGATGAGGCAAGAGCCCTGCCCTGAAGTAGTAGTCGCCTCTCTTACCTTAAATTTACAAAAAGTAGAGTATGAAAAAGTAGTATTTTTAAATTGAGTGCTAGTGCATGTATCAAGTTGTTAAACCAAAGTTGTTGTTAGGTTTCCTTTCGAACCAAGGCAGAATTTTTAAGATTTTAAAAATCCTTAGATTTTTAAGGAGTGTTTTAAGTCTACCTATACAAATTGAAAGACCATAGATGACAGGGATATTTTATGATCTTCAAATTTGTTGTTTAATTGTCAGACTGTTGTATTATATCTGAGGAATGTGTCTGTTTGCTTTCACTCATATTTTCTAATTGGCATGCTCAACTCAAGCCTATCTGTAGCTCCTAGGTACCTTTAGTTGCCAGGGATATATAGGGACAGTACACTAGAGTTCTAATCTTACTTCTTATCTAGAATCCTAATTCCAGCTGAGTGTAGTGACTCATTCTTGTAAACCTAGCACTAAAGGGACTAAGACAGCTTGGACTACAAAGCAAGATTCAGTCTCAAAACAAAACAAAACATTAGACATTGGCACAGTAAATGTCTGTATCTACTTTGTACTTGTGTAGATGTATCATTTGTTGACATGGAAAGCTTTGGGACTTTCCAGTAACACTTGAAACTTCTCAAGACATGTCCTTGTGGTGCTGTTTTAAGCCTTCTCATTATTTGGTTCTGTACTGGATCTTTTCTAAACCCAACTTAAGCATCTCTATGCACAAAACTCTGCCAGTAAACCAGAAACCTGGTAAGGTAGGAGGGGTGTTCATGCATAGACTAGATGTCCACTAGGAGGAGATGTTGTAGAGAAAACCAAAGTAGAGGACTCTGAAATAGTAGTGTATTCAAGCCACCTGCAACATTGTTACTGTCTCAAATAGTAGTGTGTATTAAATCCACTTGCAACATTGTTACTGTCTCAAAAAGCAGTATGTATTAACTCCATCTGCAACATTGTTACTAACTCAAATAGTGTTTGTTACTGTCTCGAATAGTAGTGTGTATTAAATCCTCCTGCAACATTGTTACTGCAGCTCTTGACCACAGGGTTGAAATTTTATTTATGATTGTTTTAGCAATAAAATATACCAGTAATATTATAATACATTCTAAATATCTGTTTACCACTGTAAGTAGTAAATATATGTGCAAATATGTCAAAATCTTGTTTTTGTTTCTATCCTTACCAAAGCAAAATAATTCATAATGAAATAAAATTTTTCTGTTGAATTGTCAAATGAAATTAAAGTGACTTGTAGATTGCACATTGGGCTTCCATTGTGGAATTAGTAGACATGAGCTTTGTGTAGCTTTTATTCCTCGAGGATATTTTTGGTAGCTATCTAAGGTGGAGTTAAAAGTCTAAAGACAGGAGAGAAGTGTTATCTCTGAGCTTAAACCCATTCTGAGCAGTCTAGCTTAGTAGTTGTTAAATCATCAAGTTCCTGAGTGGAACGATTACGACATGCTCCACCACACCCAGCTTCAAACAGCACCTTTGATAGAAGTCAGATTTGAACTGTAAGGAACTTACCCTTATTAATCTCAGGCATCACAAGATTCAGCAAACATTGGATCAAAGAGTAAGTGAATAAATAGACTTCCAGCTTCCATCACTGCTGCTGGAAATGAGTGGTTAGCTGGAGTTTGGTCATAGTTTTGATTTGGCCATTTGGAGGCAAGTGTAAGTGTAAATTTTTATTGTGTGTGTAGTGATGGTAGCCAGTAAGTTTAGCCATGGCCTCTGGCCTGTTTAACAACTGCAGCATGCCTACATCACTATATTGTTTTCTAGCTAGTTTAGCTGGTGGGGGAAAATTACTGGGAACACTGGCTTTCCCATTTGAATTGTAAGATTCTGCCATGTTGATCGTAAGATAGACCACATTCTTATACTTGACTTAAGGGTTACCTTCACAGATGTTTCCCTACATTACAAAAGAGAGAATATCTAAAATAATTTAACAGTAATCTTGCAATTTGTTAGCTATTGAAATCCAGATCATATCAAGTAGCCAGATGCAAAAGCTGCAATATAAAAAACAAACCTGATTCTTAATTCAAGAAAAAAAAAGCCTTTTTTAAGCCTTTGAAGTCATTTCCTTGAGATAAGAAACAAGTGAACTAACATGATAATTCATTTAATTAAAATCTCTATAGTTGCCAAATCTTTTCACTGATGGCTAGAAGGTGGAAGAATATTGTGATTTTTTTTTTATAGTGTTAAGTGAAAAATCCCAATAGTTTTTAGAAAAATCTCCCAGGGAAACCTCAGTGCTAGTTATTGCCCTGGCTACCGGTTTCCTGTAGTTTACCTATGCTTTAGACTTAGCTGCGTAGTAAGCCACAGTAACCTTTTATTACAAACTTAGTGTTCAGCTGGGCTTGATGTCACATGCTTATCATCTTAGCCCCCAGGAGGATAAAGGGTGGTGCTTCCCACAAACTCAAAAGTCAGCTGAGCTGCAGAACTGTAGTGTGCAGGGCTGGAGAGATGGCTCAGTGGTTATAAGCACTGGCTACTCTTCCAGAAGATGTGGGTTAGATTCCTGGCACCCACACAAGGTTCATAACCCTCTGTAGCCCCTGAACTGTGTTGAGTTTTGGGCCAGCCTAGACTACAGAGCAAGAACTGTCTCGGGGAGAGGGGGGTGAGGGCTTACATTATTCTGATGGATGAAATAGTTCTCAGATTTTGGTATTTTTTCTGTATGATGGTAAAGTTAATCCAGACAGCACAAAGTTACCAGCATATGTATTCTGGACGGTCCAGTGTGCTGTGCGCATGCATCCAGTCTTAACCCCTGCACGTCAGTGTTGTACCTTCTGCACAGAGCTGGAGCACTGTGAAGTGTCGTGGCATAGCGTAGATCTGCGCATGCGTAGAAATACTGTGAACAGCATTGTAGCAGATCTATGCATGCGTGTGATCTGATTCAAAGCAGGTTATTTTGGAAGAGTCAGTTTTGTCAGTTGTAAATGAATTTACATTTTCTTTACTTTTGTTTTTAGATTAGCAGTAATATGGTTTCCAAATAATCTAATTGCTGTTAAAATAGCATATTATAGCCTAGTATGAGACTAAAATTATGAAATACAAAAATAGATTCTTCTCTTTTTTTAGGCTACGACTAAATCCCAGTTGAATCCAGCGTTTGTGGATGCGTGGAGCAGCAGTGACGAAGAAGGGTGATTTAGCCAGCCTTTACTCCTTGTCCATCAGCAGAGTTCGTGCAGGCTTCTGCTTGGGGCTCTTCTTTTGGTTACCTTTGTTTCTGAGACAAGGTCTCACTGTGTAGCCTTGGCTAATCTGAAGCTAGGCTGGAATTCTGTGTGTAGACCAGAATAGGCCCAAACTTGCAGCCATCCCTCTGCCTCTGCTTCCCACATGCTGGGATTACAGGTGTGTACCACATTGCCGTGGGTGTGTGTGTGTGTAATTTTTTTTTTAACTCTTTAGTCAGTTTCTAAATTTGGGATGTTTACCTCTGTGTTTGAAAATGAGGTTAACATGTATAAAACGCTGAAATAAACTTCTCTGTGGTTTAATTATTGAAAACCCTTCTGTTTGAGCCCGTTTGCCTTGGTGTCAGGTCAGCTGCTGTAGGCACAGCACAGGAACAGAGGTCATTGTTCTCAGCCAGGCCTGTAGGTCTGATGAGTGTAGGATGTGTCTCAGCTCTGGATCCCCAGGCTGTGCTACCAGCTGCCCCCTTCCACCTCCAGGGGGATTTTTAACAAGGATAATTAGAAGAAAAGGTATTTTTGCAAAAGTAACATCGCAACTCTATTGATAGCTCCATGTAATTGACTCTTCTAGCTTTCTGTCTGTTTACAGCTCATGTCTCCTACAGTCTGAACAGTGTATCACATGGGCAATCCCCTGACCACTTGTTACTTTCAAAGGGCAGCTTGTACTCAGTCCTCATTTCCTTCCTGTCAGACTCAGCAAGATCCTTGCTGGGGTCTGAATTAAACATGAAATGTTGTAATAAAATTTCTATTCTTCTCTCTTTTTCTGTGTCAACCCAGGAGCGATTATTATGAAGCGCCCCCACTGTGTGTGTGTGTGTGTGTGTGTGTGCGCGCGCGCGTGCGCATACATGTTCACTAGGGATTGAACCCAGGGCCTCACACATTAGGCAGAAGGACTACCACCAGGCTAAGGGTTCAGCCCCTCTGACAGTAATATTACATTTCCTTTCTTCTTGATTCTTAGCGGCAGTAGAGTAGTAAAAGAGGGTTCTGTGAACTGGAGTACTAAGTGTATAATTGTTAGGTTTTAGTGTTAGTACTAGGCCTAATATCTGACTTTACTGACCAAATGTTTTCTATGTGTCCTGGCTAGTTTTATGTCAGCTTGACACAAGCCAGACCATCTGAAAGGAGAGAGAACCTCAATTTTACAAATACTCCATAAGATGGAGTTGTAGATAGGCCTATAGGGCATTTTCTCAGTTTGTGGCTGATGTGGAAGGGCCCAGCCCGTCTAAACATTATAGATAATTTTTAAAAAGTAAAACTCCAAAAGGAAAGTAATGGTCACCTAGGATCTTTCCAGGTACCCGGGACTTAGGCATTCTCTGTACTTGTCTGTCACATGTATAATTTAAATACTGTCTTGTTTGCAATGATGCTATTGTAGAAACCGGGTCTTCTCAAACAAGTACCCCTCCTCCATTCTTCACACTTTTCCACAGTTGTATTGGTCTAGTGTGTATTCCTTTATATTACGATTCTATATAGACCTATGTCAACATATAGGATTTACTTGTTTTCACTAGATGAGATGGCATAATTCTGTCTAATTTTTTCAGATTCAGCATGTATAAACCCCTCTATGTTGTTATAATGGAGTCATTATTTTTCCTAATCTCAGAATGTTCCAAATTGTGTTTTATACAGATTTTTTCAGACATTTCCCTGACTGTATATATAGAACACACACATAGAAGTGTGGTGTGTGTGTGTGTGTGTCTTGTATACATTGTGATCTGCATATGTTTTCCTTAGGCATTAGATTTGGGCAGAAAACTTATTTATTGAATATTTTTAACTTCTGCATTTTTTTTCTGGGTGTATGAGATTTAGGTGTGTGTGTGTGTGTGTGTGTGTGTGTGTGTGTGTGTGTGTGTGTATGGGTGTGTGTGTTTGTGTGTGTGTATGTTCTAGTTTCAGTTCTTTACTGCGATAAAATGCCCTGAACAAAGGCATTTTGGGAGAGAACACATTTATGTCAGTTAACAATCCCAGGTTAGGGTCCATCCCTGTGGGGAAGTCAGGACAGGAACTTCAAACAGCTGGCCACATCCCAGGCAAGAAAAATGAGTGCACGACACCTTCACTGCACTGCTGAGGTTGAAGTGACCTTTGTAGACATGTCTTCTCTAAGTGGAATTCTTCTCACGCTGTACATGTACGGTGACAATGACTAAGACTCACGTGAATGTGGTGACTGACTAGGGAAGTGGAAACAGGGCCTTTGTAAGCTTTAGGCAAGCTTGGGAAACGGTGAATATTTTATTTACTTCTTTCATCTCAGATCAAATGCCTGACAAACAAGAGGAAGCAGTGACTCTAGCAGACAGTTTGAATGTACAGGCCGTCCTGGTGGGAAGGAGCAGATTGTAGCTGCAACAGCAGAAGCAGGAGGCGGGCAAGATGGCAGAGACAGGACAGGAAGCAGGGCCAGATAGAAACGTCAAGACCCCTCGCTGAAGGTGAGCTCCACTTTCTCCCTCTAGACTCCACCTTCCAAAGATTCTGCAATCTCCAAAGAATAGCACCACCAGCTAGAGCCTAAATATGTGAACATGGGAGCCCATGGGGGACTTCTCACACTCCATCACTGGTCTCTAAGTTCATGGCATCTCAATGCAAAATGCATTCAGTTCCACTTCAGAAGTCCCCAAACTCCTGCTTCAGCAATCGGAAGCCCAATATCTCTTCATCCCTGTAGTAAACAAGAAAGCATTCCCATTCCAAAGCTGATGGGGCCCTTCTTCCCCTTGGACCCTCAGGCATCTCTGCTTTTCTGAGCTCCTATGGAATTGGCCCAGTGAGTCCATTTACAGCATTCAGAAGTTCATTTTAACCCAAAACTAAACCGTTCCACGTTTCTCCTGCAAGTTTGTTCCAAAGTTGACAAAACATGATTAGTTCTGTGTCAGCAACAGCCTTATCACAAACTCTACCCTCAGTGCCAGCTGGTTTTTTTAAGAATTGTTTCTATTATTTTCATTATGTGGGTATGTGCAGGTGTCTGCAGATGCCTGTGGAGCCGCCCAGCAGTGTCTGATGCCCGTGGAACTGGAGTTTCAGGTAGTGGTGGGTCACCTAATATGGATACTGAGAACCAAGCCTGGGTTCTCTAGAAAAAAACGCTCACAATCTTAACCACTGAGGCATCTCTCCAGCCCTAACTTTCCTGTAGTGGTTACTTTTCTCATCACAGTGACCAAATATTAACAAGAAAACCAAGGTGTGGGGAGCAGGGGAATGGATTGATTTAGCTCATTAAAGCAATGCACTTAGACCACTCAAACCTTGCCAGAAATGGAGCCACAGAAGCCTGGTGCACAGGGCATTTTACCTTCTAGAAAGTGTGGTAGGGAAAACCAATTGCAGAATGAACAACCACTTTTCCTGGCACTGTGTTCTTGACAGAGAAGGTTGCACCAGTGCTCGGAGGACAGAGGGACTGAGCGCTAAGAAGTATTAGATTCATGGCCTATAGTTAACTGTTCAGTTGTGGATATGGCTTTTCCTTTCTTGTCGGGGTTTTATGTGCACTGGTGTTTTGCCTGCATGTATATGTTTGTGTGAGGGTGCCAGATCCCCTGGAACTGGAGTTACAGACAGTTGTGAGCTGGGAATTGAACCTGGGTCCTCTGGAAGAACAGCTTGTGTTCTTAACTGCTTAGCCATCTCTCTGGCCCTTGGTTTTACTATTTTGAGACACAGTCTATCTAAGTATGCAGGCTGACCTTGAGCTTGCTTATAGGTAGCCCAATGCCTTAATTAAGCCAATTATGTTGAACATTTGTATCATTGCTACTATTTGCTGTCCCTCTCTGCTCTTTCTTTAAACAGAGATATTGAAGGAGGTGGTGAGGGGCAGTATGCAATATCAAATGCGTAAATACACTCTTGGGAAGAGACACCAGGACAACAGGAGCTCTTATAAAGGAAAGCATTCAATTGAGGCTTACTGAAAGTTTCAGAGGTTTAGTCCATTTTCATCATGGCATGGTGGCATATAAGCCGCCATGGTGCTGGAGAAGGAGCTGAGAGTTTCTGCATCTGAATCTGCAGGCAACAGGAAGAACGAGCCTGCTTTTTGGAATAGGCTTTTTGAAACCCTAAAGCCCACCCCCAGTGACCCAATTTCTCCACCAAGGCCACACCTCCTAATCCTTTCAAATAGTGCCACTCCCTGGTGACCAAGTATTCAAATCTATGGACCTATGGGGGCCATTCTCATTCAAACCCTCACAGTCAGGCATCCCACTTGGATCCTGCTGCCTTAGCTTCCCAAGTGCTGGGGTTACAGACACGTGCCACCATGCCTAGTTCTTTCTTGCAGAGAACATTTGAAGTTCCTTCTTTGCTACCTTAAGCCAATCTTAAATCTTGATTTCTAGAATTATTTCAAGTCATGTAAACATTTTTTGAGATAGAGTCTCATGTAACCCAGGTTGCCCTCCAAGTTTTTATATGGCCCAGGATGGCCATGAACTTCTGATGCTGCCAGGGACTGAAATTACAGGCATGTGCCCCCACACCTAGGGTGTGTGGTGCTGAGATCAAACCCAGGGCTTCTTGCATGCAAGTCCAACACTCTCCCAATGGAGTTATAATCCAGTCCCTGTAATATAAAACATGACATGTCTTGATAGTTGTGTCAACAATAGTTTCAGATGTGGGGTGTATGGTTCTTTCCTCCACTCTCTGTTTCTAATCAGATAACTGACGATTCCAAACGGGAAAAATAAGGCAAGCTGTTGTGATCTCTATCAGTATTATATGTATTAGAATCAGCAAGTAAACGCCCTGTGCACTCTTGGCACTGATGAAAACTCCAGTAGCTTCTGTACTAGTTTATTCAGCTCTCCTGGTTCGTGCTCCTGAGGCATCCTCAGGAAGAGGGTGTCATGTGGTCCTTGTGTCAGTGACCAGGTTCCTTAAGCTGTGCTTTATGCCTTGTATTTGTCAGTGTTTATTTTGTAAACTTTGCAGAGCTGGCAAGTGGCCTTAGGCCTGGCTGGCGGTTTTGTTTCCTTGCCACTGGTGTTCAGCACTGGCTCAAGGGAATGACACAGGCCACTTCCCTTTGGTTTGTATTGTCCTTTGTAGCACAGGTTAGTAGCAGCCCCAAACAAGGGCCTGCTGATATCTTAGACAAACACCAGCAGGAGCAGAGAGCTAGGCCTCTGACACTAGTTTCCCTCCCTGTCACGTGATGGTCCATCAAAACTGCTGTTCAAACCTGTACTTAAAGGATTGCTAATAAATCTCTGGAAATTGAGTTAATCATTTTTATCAATATTATAGTGTTATAATTTTTTTTGTATTTTGTATGCAATTTTTATTAGGGTTTTGGTAAGTACTATTGAAAAAAAGTTATTAAAAATAACAGTGGCAGGCCAGGCAGTGGTGGCACACATCTTTAATTCCAGTACTTGGGAGGTGGGGGCAGGTAGATCTTTGTGAGTTTGAGGCCAACCTGGTCTACAGAGCTAGCTCCAGGACAGCCAGGGCTACACAGAGAAGCCCTGTCTTTAAAACCAAACCAAAAAGGAAGGAAGGAAGGAAGGAAGGAAGGAAGGAAGGAAGGAAGGAAACAATGTCAATAGCAACAACAACAAAAAAAGCAAACCAAACAAACAAAAAAAACAGTGACAGGACTGGAGGATGGCTGAGCAGTTAAGAGCATTTGCCACTCTTTGAGACGCCCTGAGTTCAGTTCCCAGCACCCACTTCAGGTGGCTCACAACTCCTATAACACCAGGTCCTGGAATCCAGAAC